AGCGGGCTCCTCGTTCAGCGTCTGCAGCATCCAGCTCTCCAGGGTCTGGAAGTCTCGAGGGCCCTGGTACTTCACTGCTTCTTGGCCAGGCTTAAAAAACTTCAGGCTGCAAGAACAACGGAGGATCAGGCAGAGCGCAGGTTTCAAGCTGTCCCAAGCTTTGTGGGTAGGGAGCATGGTATTACAAGTGCGCAAACTCATTTAGGGAACCAAGGCGAGAATGAGCTGGCCAGGGGCTGCAGCCAGGGCCCTCTGTACCTCCCTGTGACACCACCAGAAGGGAAACAGAGGCGCTGCTTTAGGAGGCAGTGCATGCACATAATGCTAAGCGTCCAGAAGTTTCTGAGGTTGTTCAAGGAAACTAAAACCCAGGTGCAACTTGTAGCCACAGTGCAGCCTTCTGTGCTCTTGTGTATAATTTCCTGCTTCTCCTGGGAGGTATTTGCTACCCTTCCCAAGAAACTGTCAAAGGAAACTCCAACTTGATGGTTTTCCTTCCATTCGCTAACCCTTACACACAGTGCTGTGATGTACAACAGAATGTAACACTGCGCCCTGAGCCGTACAGCACCAACAGCAAAACTGTCAGAACCGTTCTGTAGAAGAAGCCACCTGCATCAGCAGTCAGAGTGCAGGTCCCAAGTCTGAGTGACGGGCGATAAGTCCGAGCAGTCACTGAACAGGTAGGTACAATATATATGGCATGGAGTTGAACTGTCTCTCTCAGAACAGAAATTCTAGCTCGCGACCTCAAAATGTGAGTCTAGTAAGAGTCTTTCTACAGAAGAGAAATTTGGACACAGACACACACACACACACACACACACACACACACACACAGGAGCCACGTGATCATGGGGGCTGGGCATGATTTGTGTGTGCAGCAAAGAAGCCAGGATGGCCAGCAACTGTCAGAAGCCAGAACAGGGGAGGATTCCCTACAGGCTTCACAGCTGGTGTGGCCCTAGTGGCTCCTTCACTTTAGAATTCCAGCTGCCAGCACTGTGAGAAAACAGACTTCTGTTGTTGCAGCCACCACTCTGTGCTTCTGTTAGAGCAGCAGCAGGACAGGAACTCCAATGGCATCCCCTTCCACCCAGCACTGTCCAGGGCTTCCCGGACAGTACTCCTTCCTGCTCCAGGGCAGCCCTTAAACATTTTCCTGGGCACAGGGGGACCACAAACTCCTCCCTCTGTAATCTTTTCCTGCAGCCCAATGTACCAGGGAGACTGACGCAAAGGGTCACATACTGAACACACCCCTCAAGCTCAGGCTTGTCTGTCAGCACTACTTCCGGCCTGGCAATGACTCCCTCAGGTGGACTGTCTTAGAGACCCATCTAGGACCACCTCAATGTGACACTCTGCACAACTCTGCCCCGTGCCCTCTGTGTAAAAATAAAGAATTTAAAAATTCTGTTCTCAGCACTTCTGCAAGCCTGTGAGGGCCACAAGGGTCCCTCCCAGACTATCTTTGGTATGCTGTGAGCTCTTTCTCATTCCTAACAACGTAACATTCATGCCTGGGCTACCTGGGTGCAACCAGATCTTCTGAATAAAAATGGAGCCAGGAGTGGTGGCACGTGCCTAGAGAGCCAGCACTGGGGAGGCTGAGGCAGGAGGATTGTTATGAATTTAAGGCCAGCCTGGGCTCCAGAGTGAGTTCAAGAAACCCTAGACCACATGGCAAGCCCTTGTCTCAGACAACAAATAAAGAATTACACAAAATAAAAATGAAGACACATGATCCAATGTGGGTCTTTTCATGTGTGTGAGTGGCACCGACGGAGAACCTGATGCTACAGCCTACGCCATCTCCGACTCAGCTGCGTGGAGCCCTTTGCACTCCCCTCTAGCTACCCAGGACCTGCGCCCTCGCAGCCCCATGATGGCTCAGTTGCAGCCACCCCATGCCATGCTGTAGGCCCACACGACAACAGCAAGGTCAGGCTGTGGAGGTCACAGCCAACACATCTCTGCAGCCCCTGCCTCTTGGAAGCAGCAGCTCCAGGAGTACTCGTTTCCTCTTCCTCCTCCCACCCCTCCTGGCTTTTTTCTAGGACACTGGATCCAAGCTGAGGCTACTTTAAAATCAAGGCTAGGAAGCACTGGGCAGAGGATGTACTCAGCAAGGTCCACGGGCAGGACATTTCTCTGCTGGTCTGACACAGTACAGGCTCCAATGTGGCCACTCAGCAAGCAGCCACTGGAGACCAAGAGCTCGAGGTCCTTTATGGGAGCCAAGTTTCCAAATGAAGGCCTAACCCTAACTGGTACACACACGCTGCCTCCTCCGTGGGTGCCACTGTAACCACTGTCCTTGGAGGATGAGCATCATGCCCTGAGCCACAGGGAATTTGAACAGCAGAGCTGGGACTCCAGCCAGGTGTCTGCTCAAGCCCAGGGGATCCCCTCACGTCTTCCTACAGCCTCTCATGTCTGAAGCTCAATACTCCCCTATATTCCTCTAAGTACCGAATCCACAGGGTTCATGCCTCAGTTGTGACTGAATTAGGGAGCCACAGTGGCCAGCCCCTCCCCCTCTTGCCGATACCACTTCTGCCAAGCAGGTGGTAGGGCTCTGTCCCCCAGGTCCTGCTTCCGGGCCACAGTGACCTCCTAGAAGGAACTCTCACCCAGGGCACCCATCAACCAAGGCCCTCACTCTTCTCAGGACAGGGAGACGCTAAGCAGAGCAGTTTTCTCACTCCAGAGAGAAGCAGCAGAATGGGCTCAGGGCCCACCTCAGAGTTGCCCATGGTCCATTCTGCCCACAGAATTTCAACTCATGGGGCCAGGGAGATGGCTCAGTAGAATAAGCACTTCCCTGGCAAGGGCAAGGTCCTGAGTTCAATCCCTGGTTCTGCCAAAAAAAAAAAAAAAGATAAAAAAGAAAAAAGACTTTCAACTCATTTTCTCTGCCTTGGCCTGAATGTTTCCACCTAGCACCTGACATACCAGCTTAGGAAGAGGAGGATTTATTCTGTCTCAGTTTTAGTGGTTCTGGTCCCTGGTGGAACCTTGGGGCCTGTAGTAAAGCCACAGCCACACATCATGGTGGGAAGCAAGATGCCAGGGCAGGAAGGAAGCAAAGAGAAATAGGAGGGGGATCCTAATGTCCCCACCTCCACCCCCAGGTGCCACCTCCTAAGGGTTCTGCCCTCTCTCGACAGGGCCACATGTGGGAACCAAGCCTACACCACAGGGGTGCTCAGGGGACGCTTACTCAAACCACAGCCGTGTTGCAATCTGTCCGCTGCAGCACACTTTTGGGTAACAGTTATAACTGTTTCATAAAACCAGAAACACGCCTGATGCTCAGGGAGGCTATGGCACCGCTTGTCAGAATGCTGCCCTCTGCTTGTCCCTCTTTCCAACAGAAGTGGCGCTGCACTGATCGCAGGATATGTAAGCAAGAGAAGGTGTTGAACAACAGTTGCCAAAAGCTCAAGCCCAAGCCAAGGACAAAGGCTACGTGTGCAGAGTGTAAACTGTACCAGGGAACATCACAGGGGCGGGGTCTCAGAGACCCTCTCTGCTGTCCTCCAACATGCTCTCCATCAACAGAAAACCCAAGACTGAGGACCCTTCCTGCCACTTACGTGGGGTAGCCTCGCACGCCCTGGGCAGAGCACACGTCCGAGTCGGCCGTGCAGTCCACCTTAGCCACATAGACCTTGGTGTCCTCCATGCTGTTGTACTTGTCTCCCAGGTCATTCCACGTTGGCTGCAGCCGCTGGCAGTGTCCACACCTGGAAGGACGTGAGAGAACACGAAGCTGAAGGCCGCCACGTCGGGGTGTCAAGCCCTTCCCATCAGGCACTGGGCAGAGAGAAGACAATTTTCCACTTCAAGCCCCTGAGAGAGCACTATGCAGTTTTCAGCATTACACTGGAACCCAGCACAACACGGTTCCAGAGCTCTCCCGGTGGCCGCTGCCGTGCAGGAAGCCTCCTCCTCCTCCCTTGCAGACTGCCTCGGGCTCTACTGCAGCAGCTGCAGTCTCTGAACAGTCCTGTCCCTGGCGCTTTCTCCCTAAGCACTGCCCAGCCCTGGGGCCACTTCTGTCTGCCCTGCAGGTGTGTCCATGTGTCATTTCTGCAGGCAGGTGGCCCTGACTCCATCTCTCCTGTGTTCTGGAAACCTCCCTGTCTCCCTCACAATAGCAGCTTAGTGCTGCTTGTGGTGATTGCTTCTTTATCAGGCAAGTCCCCTCACCCATCCACCTACATATGCCACAAATGCAAGGTAGCCTCAAAATTAAATCAACTCTGCATTTTTTCCAGTGAAAAGCTAAAAAGGTATACTTTTTTAAAAGGAGTTTGTGGTCACTGAAATCTCTCAGGTTGATATAACCAAGGATCACATACAATACTGTATGAATTTAGTTGTATGCACATGTTGTTGAATCAACTATCATTTAAAGTAATATGCTATGAGGACGATGGCTTCTGCTCGCTCTTCCTGTTGGGACAGCACCAATGTCATTTCCCATCGCTAGACCTGTTGCTGACAGTCATGGTACGGCTCAGCATCTTGCATTCTCAGCTGTCTGCAATGCCAAATTTGAGTTCAGAATCAGCCAGCACTGGAAACTCCATCTCAAGCCTCAAGTACAAGCAGACTGTGGTGGAACAGGGGCTCGTCTGGGTTTTTCCCACGTGTCTAGTATGTATGATATGCGCATCTACAGGGCAACCCCTTCCTGAGCTGCTTTAAAGTCAGGCTTTCGGAAAATAAGAAGCAAACAAAATCAACTGCCCACTTACAAGAATACCCAACACTGACACTTGTGACTTCTTCACAATAACTCCTCAATAAAAGCTGTGAAACCTCTTTGCCTCTCTTCTGACCCATGACCTCAAGAATAACCACCTAAAGGTAGCACCAAACAAGTTCAAGCAAAGCGTCCTCTTTAACCAGCACTTTCTAGGCCAGCTAAGAGTCCTGCTGAATAAGCACCCTGAATATGTCTCATTCCCTCGTTCCTGGAAGATCACTGGAGGAAACCCCAGCGTCATGTTTAAATCCACACAGCACCAGTGCCAAAAGGGCACTTTTTCGTGGCTGCATTCCCAGCACCCAGCGCACACTCAGTATATACTAAGTGCTGGGTAATTTCTTCACTGAATTAAAAAAAAAAAAAAAAAAAAAAAAAGCAAGCAGCAGTGAAAACGCATTTGTGGATTTCACCTCAGTGAATTCCAGCGCCTTTGGGAGGTGGGGGAGGGCAGGAGAAGCTCCAAGGGCAAAGAGCCAAGTGCCACAGGGCCCTGAAGGGCACCTACAGTGGAAGTGGGCCTTTGCTTCCTGGGTTCCACTCTTCCTTGAGGTGTGAGCACGTTACCACACCCAGGGTGCATGCTGTCCACAGAACGTATGTGACACACAGTTGGGTCCGTGCTTCACCAAAGCAGCAGAAATCTACTCTAAGGCTGGAGGGCAACCTGGCTGGGAGGACTGGGCGGGTGGTGAGGGGCGTCCTCCTGGACCCCATCCCACCGGGCTTTCCTAAGCAGTTCTGTGCAGTTTCGGCAGATGTGCTCATTTCAGAATTCTACAACTTCTTCGCAACCTTTTAAGTTTTCTTGCGAAAACACAAGACCAGATTGAAAATGGGAATAAAGAATCCTGTATCTTCATTGGGCACTAAATCAAAGCTGTCCATCATGGGGACTCATTAAGCTGGGGGTGCCTCTTCCCTAACCCCAGTAGCAGTAACGGACCCACAGGTGTCATCTAGCTGAAACTCCTGGTTTGGGGCCCTGGCAGCTACACCATGTACCCCTGGGACAGCCAGCTGCATTCCATTAGCCTGGCCCTACCAGAGCAAAATAACAGTGCAAAACTGCTTGGTCCCTATCTTGACCTCACTGCCACCAGGGTCAGTGTGACCCAATGTTGGCACAAAATCCACTGGGCAGGACAACCATACTGCTGCCAAGTTCAGAGCAAAAATACACTGACCTATGTTTTCATTACATCATGTCCTTGCCCCCAGTCACACCTGGGCTTGCACCATTCCACACAGCTCCTGAACTGGAAGGGGGGTGGGGTGTGGTCTGATGTCTTCTGCCTAAGGTCCAAACTGCACTTAAAAGCCTAACTTTCAAAGGCCATCAAAAAATCTACAGTAAGAAGCCAATAAAAACTTAAATTCTGGGCCAGGGAGATAGCTCAGTAGAATAAGCACTTGTCTGGTAAGCGCAAGGGCCTGAGTTCAATCCCCAGTTCCACCAAAAAAAGCCCTCCAAAAGCCCTCCAAAAAACCCTTGAATTCTTTTACATATCCCCTTAAATGTCCACAAACTCACACTGAATAAAAAGAACTTTTACTGAAGACCTAGGACCCATGCTGGCCTGTCTTTGCTCTCAGTGCATAAACAACTTACTGACAATTGCTAAATAAGTTCACAATTAAAACTTCATTAGCACTGCAAGGAACTTACTATGTCACATGTCGATTTTTCTTTAAAAAAGGAGGAAGAAAAAAAGCCCCACAGATTTTTTCCACGAAATTGGCTTCAAATACGTGTAGCAGTATCGTATTTAATTGGCATGCTTATTCTGAGAATATGCAGCACACAGTAACTATCGACATCAGCTGACAGTTCTATGCTACAAAGTGTTTCCTCCACGGTGGGTAGTTCTCAAACTTCAAGTCAGCTGGTCCTCGGGAACTTGAAACACAACAATGCATTCCACATATACAGTGTTAATAAATAGTGCTTAAGGCCCAGACTGGCCTGAACAAGTCGATTTAACCTAAATGAGCTGAAATACAGTAACAGCCAGACTATGGAGGTAAGAGACAAAAGTCTCTCCTATGACTTCAAAAGTCATAGTTTTGAATAAGGCATTCTTTTTCTTACCCTTCCTACACCTCTGTCCCCTGCGGACCCCTCCTGAGCTCTGAGAGCCAGTACTAAATCCTGCACTCTTCTGCCGGCAGTCTCCACATCTCCACATCTAGCAGGCCTGCGCCCTGGTAACCCCGGGGGTGAAGGGCTCGGGTTAGAGTGGAGGCCAAGCAGTCAGAAGGTCTGAGCGTTCATCCAGGGACTTCCCCACCTCACACTTTCCGAAGGATCAGGTCCCCAAGGAGCTACAAAGAGGTGACCAAGGCCAGCACGGGCCGTGGACCGCCGAGGGACAGCCAACCGGGGCCTCAGAACTCGCGCCCCTTCGGGTTTCCAGCGGTCACCCCGGCCGGGTAGCCCTTCCCACGCACGCAGTGGGGCGCCCCACCTTGGGCGTCCTCCCTGCTCAGATAAGCCCACGAAGGTGATCCGCCCCACAGCTTCCTTGGGGCCGAAGCGCCCCGGGAGCCCGCTCGGCGCGCACGCGAAGTTGGGGCGCCGGGAGCGTCCGGGACCCCCGGGCGCCCCCCGCGCAGGCCCCGCCGGGAGGGGCGGGA